TTTTTTTTTTTTTTTTTTTTCTATTCACTCACAACTTGTACAACATAATACATAAAAGTAGATTTGTTCCAAAGAGGTGGGATCTAAGGTTTAGAAATCGTCCTTGTGGGATTTCTTCGAGCCCTGTCGTCCGCAGAATGTTGAATTGCCCAAGTCGTCTCCGTCTTCGAGTGCTTCTCCTCTCCGATTTGGGGTGGGATAGTTGATCGTCCCAATTATGTTGCTATGTGTTTATGCAATGAAGGGTAACTTAAGCATTTTATGTCTTATCGTATTATTTTGTCCGTAAAAGTAAATGTTTGACAAATTTCAGAGGTTTTAATCTCGTAGTGTAAATATTGGATTGATAATGACGTGTAAAGTAAGCTGAATTATTTCTTGTAATCCAGTCCTTCAAAGTAAATGAGGCCTTCAAGTACAAATCTCTCCTAAATACAAATATTTCTAAAACTCAAATTATATTACATCGTCATATTATTATTTATTCATTCATTCATGGCCTCCATCGAACAATACCAGTTTTGCTATGGAATCATCGAATGTCACGACTTATTGAGTCATCCACACTTATTCACAAATAGTGTATTGACACGTGTCTTACAATAAATACACTTCAAACAAGTATCAATACATTAAGTGGTAGATGACTTCATACGAAAACCATTCGATAACTCCATAGAATAGTTGTGAACATTTGAATCATTCTTTCCCAATCCTTCATCTCAATGAATTATTTTTAACATCACCCCTATATATAATTCCCGAATGCGCTGAGCCTACGTGGTTGCTTCTGGTGCTTCGGAATCATACTTAGCGAAAAATCATGCTTCGTAATTAGGTTGACAAATAATATTGATATTAATAATTAATAATCTAGGTTCGGTCATTCCATAAATATTATTTAGTTAACTTATATATTTAATATCACTTGTACTAATATAACCCTTTAATTCTTTAATTCTTTGTAATTTTACATAGTGAGACACTAAGAGGATGCTTGGATACAAAATTATCTCAAAAAATTCCAATTATTTTTAACTCAACTACTTTTTTAACTCATTTTAACTCAACCTCACTATCATCAACTTTTTCCTATAATTAAATAATATCAACCAATCATTTATACACATCACATCAATCTTAATTCACTATTATTTTAATATACCCACTAACAACTAACCATACCACCTTTTTCAAAATTAACTAAACCAACCAAAAAATCCAAACAAAACAAAAAGATTTTATATCCAAGCATGCTCTAAGTGACTATTATATCTCTACTTTTGATTTGTTTCCTTTAGTTAACTATTGAATTGTAAATGTATTTTAAAAGTTGATAACTTTTGTATTTCTTATCAGTTTTACATATATAATATATCGAATTAATCATCTTTTAATAATCTTCGATTTGACATCTATATTGTATATATGAAATAAATAAATTATATTTATCTTTATAATAATAAAAAAAATATTTATTAAAATTCATTAGAAAAATAAAATTATTTTTCAACTGATATATTTATGTTTAATGTAGTTATATGTTGTAAGTTAAAAAATATTATAATATAACATATGTAAGCCGCACAAATAAAAAGTGTCATACTAATTATATAATAATATATATATTTTTATAAAATGTATTTAAACTTTCAACTACTTTTTTTTTTCATTAATTTAAGATTTTAAGAAAAAAAATTAACAAACACACGTATAATACACGGACGTTGTACTAGTAATATTATGTTCCAAAAAGTTGGCCCTAAAGAATGAACTGCAACACACACACATAGAAAACTAAACTGCACATCAAATAAATGTCACAAGACTCACAACAAGGCAATACATACATCATATCCATAATACAATAGTACAGTTGCAAATTAGAGTAAAAAAAAAAAAAACAAAAAACCATTACACTTAGATACAGTTTTATGATTTCCCTTCTAACCTTTTATATTCTTTTTAGGAACTTTTAAGGCCGATTGAGCGAGGCTCGTCACCTAATCGGCCAACATTTGTATGCAACATAGTAGAAAAAAAGAAAACGAGCTCGTTATATGTTGTAAGTTAACGGAAAGCTGACGTGGCGTCAGCGACATGTGGCAAATTGTGACACGTGGCAGGCTTGCAGAATTGCCACGTCAGCTTTCCGTTAACGGCCGTTAACGGCGTGTATCATTTTGCCAAAAATGTAAAGGTCATGTATTTTTCTGACAAAGTCTGAAAGTCGTGATTAAATTGCCAAACACGTAAAGGTCGTGTTAAAACCTGCCATTTTGCCTTCATTTTTTTATCTTTCTTCGAGAAAAGGAGAGTAAATCAAAATGAATTGAAATTGCCATTTTTTTTTTAATTTTTTTTTTTAATTCTTCTCAACCAAATCAAGATCAAGCATCCCTGCAATTCCCAAAAAAATAAACGAGCGAAACTCAAGAAGAAAATGGGTAGGTTAATGTTTTACGGCATAATGACATTTTTAGTCCTGCTCGTTTACGTCATATTGCAATTTTAGTCCCAAAGTTTCGACATTTTCCCTTTTTGGTCATGTAATTTAATATTTTGCTGCAATTTGAGTCATTTGAGAATTGAAATTGCAAAAAATTCTCAAATTCCCATATTTTCGATCCGCAATTCAAGTCCAACAATTCAAGTCCTGTAATTTAAAATTTTATTGCAATTTCGATGTTGTATATTAGAAAACTAAATTGCAATTTCAATCCTCAAAATATTAAGTTGTGGCGAAAAGTTGGAACCTTGGACTAAAATTGCGATGTCGTTAAACCAACATGACTAAAAATGCATTTTTGCCATGTTTTACCTCTCTTTGCCTACGGCGTTGCAAGATATTGATGGCCCAGATCATGATGTAGCAAGGCAAAAGAAAACCAACAGCCCGTAGCAAGAACAGCTGCATTTTTTTTTTTTCACATTTTAGTACTCGGAATAATCAACTCGATGGACATAAATCTACTGTAAAAAAAATTTAAAAAATAGAACAACGTGAAAAAAAATTGTTGATTTACTAACAGAGAAGAAAGTCGATGCATCGTCATCTTCCCTGTCCCCATCACCAGTGACAGAAAGTGCATGTCTCAGTAGAAGAAGAGCCATCAACTGCATATTTTTACATTACATTTTAATAATAATACAAAAGAAAAATGCTGTAACAATGAAATGGGAATGCTTACAATAAGAGCAGCCGAACGGCAAAATGCAGTGCCACTTGTGCTACCGTTAAATTCATCATAATCGACTTCAAATAGCTCTCGTTCAGCCTCGGCAAAGGCCACGAGCCGAGGATCGTGCATATTCACTTGGCCTCCCGAGATTTGCCACACTCCTCTGAAAAAAAAACACCAAAAAATGATTCTAACATTTGCAAGAAAGAAAAAAAAAAAAAAGAACTAAGAATTAAGAAAAAAATAAAATCCAAGACTAACCCAAAATCTATATTAGTCTCATCAGACTGAGGTCGAGGAGGAGCCGTATAATTTGGCTGATACGTCTGCAAATCAAGATTTCAGAATATTAAGTCATTTTATGAATTTATTTATAAATTTATCGAACATTCAATGTTAAGATTGAAAAACAGAGAAAGAATATGAGGAGCAAGTGATTAACCTGATGGCAGATCTCACAGGTAATATCTCCCTTCTCGTTGCACCAATACTGAACACATTTTCTGTGAGCAAACTGCAAACAAATTTAATTCGGTAAAAAAAAAAAAAAATTAAACTTGGACTGATCTAATAAGCTTTAATCAATACATGAAGAAACTTCATTACAACTATACTCACCAAAAAAAACCAAACCTGAATATCAAATCAAGGTTAATAATTAAATTCTGGCAAAAATTTCCAAGTATTCGGAGGTTCGTTTATCCATCAGAGCAGTGAAATTTTATAGCCTTTCTTCTTAGGTCCAATTTTATTTTTGAATAACTAATTCAATCCGTTAGGGGCTCGCGAATCTGAATTCGGAATCACAAAATGCATGTCCAAGCTCTAATCCATACCCTATACTTAAAAATCATAAATCATACAGAACAAAAATCCATGTTCTAACACCATTTCAACTACATAGAGAATTTACTTAATCACTGTTAAAAAAAAAAATAAACACACAAAAACAAAACTCAGCTGTCAATCTAGTCCTCATAACAAAACCCCTCAACAACAATATACCATTATACATCAATAAGATTATCATACAACACTACCTCAACTAAAAAAATGAAAAAATAACAACAACAATAACAACATAGATCAGTATAATCCCAACTGGTTGGGGTCTGGGGGGTCAATTGTACGCAGACCTTACCCTTGTAATTTCCATAGCGACCCAAGGTGCATTGCGTCGTTTGATATATTTTTTTCTAGAAACTTCACTAATAGAGGAAGCACTAGAATTTAATTGAGCCATTTTGATCTAGTCCATTTTTAGCACTATGCCATTTTTAGCACTCTTCCAGCTCCATTTGCAATGGACAAATAAATGAAAAAATAAATAAATAAATTACAAAGCAACTTCCATTTTTACCTTAAGACTCCCACTGCAAGCACAAGGGCTCTCCAAATTATACACAAAATCCTCTTCCTGGCAAATTCGGCATTCGCCATTACCTAACAGACTCGTGTGCTCATCGGCATCCTCATCATCCACATCCACCACAACCTTATCATCTCTAGTCGATGATGAGGGCCCCACCATTTCGTTCCTCTTACCGGTAGGCCCACGTTCTAACGCCTCAGGGATCGGCTGACTAGGCCCGACTGATTCGGGGTTCGGCAGCTGACCCACATTCACCACTAGACGCTCACCCATTTACAACCTTTCAACAACACCCAATACAATCCTAGCACAACTATTGAGGAAAAGAACACAAGAACTCCTCCTATACAGAGAGCAATTACAATTTATTAAATGCCATTTTGCTTATATTTCACTTCGTTCTTATCCCTTGGTATGAAAATCAACAACCTAATTAAATGTTCTTTTCTTGTCTATTTACAAAGTCGGGATCTTTACACCTGCACATTTAATGAAACATTCTCAAAAAACACTATTCAAATCGAACAAAAAGGAACAGAACAGAACAGAATCATCACAACAAAAGGTACTGCTTTGAGATTCACACAACGATTCACTTACATATAAAACGAAAAAAAAACGAAAAATTCAATCTTTTTTTACTAATTACAGTTATACAAAACACACGGGGGATGGATTTTCGAAACAATGGTTGTATCAAAGAAAGAAAATCAACCGATCACGCTGGGAATTGGAAATGAAAATGAAGTTGAAAATGAATAAAGGAGAGAGACGGGTCGAATAATGAAGAAAATGGGTATGAAGAAATGAAGTTCGAAACATACATAGTTTTTAAATCGGCCCGGAACCAGGCATGTCTCATTGTCACCAGCTCAACCGTCGGGTCACTGGGTCAATTGCTAAACCGGATAATTAATTTCAATTTTTTTTTAAAAAATATATATATAGTATTTTTGACATATAAATATACATAAAAGTAACAAAAATAAATATTTTGTATATAAAGTTTGTACATCAACGTATTAAAAGAATTGTATATCACAATAAATATTTACTATATCAATATATTTACACAGTTTTTTATATTTTTATATAAAAAATATTAAAAATAAAAAAAAAAAAATAGGTTGACCCGGCCGGGTCAAGGCTGGATTGGCCGGGTTTTGACCGGGTCCATTGTTACCCGATCTAAATATCCCACCCGAACTGGTTCCAGCTCCGGATTGGCCAGGTCCCGAGTCAACCCGCCAGGCCGGTCTGAGTTTAAAAACAATGGTTCGAAACATGAATAGGACAAATAAAAAATATTTGAGAAGATGGTTCGAAACATGAATAGGACAAATAAAAAATATTTGAGAAGAAAATTAAATTTGAGATTGTGAAGGAATATAAGAACATGTAGTGATTAAAGGTCATGAGAAATAACAATAATAATATATCAATTAATAGTGGTTGATATTTATGTATATGTGAGTGAATAAATAATATTTTTTGTTGGAAAAATATATATTATAACAATTAGTTTTGTTTAATTGTGTTAGTGAAGTTTATAATATAAAATTTTTATTTACTTTATTTTCGTTTGCATCCAATCACATTTTGTTTTGTAAATTATATAAAACTTATAATATACTATGAAATAAATACCTGGTAGGTGAAGCCCAGGTTACACCAAAATTTGCATGTTAGTTTTAGGCTTTTAGCCCAACATTATATTGGTCTAAATGAATTTCAGCCCATTCCAATTCATAATATACACCCAATGTATACCAACAAATTATTGATACAAAAGTTTATCAATATTTTTATTATTTTTTTAAAGTTTATCAACTTGCACACAAAAGTTTGTGATATAACTTCATTCTTATTTTAATATAATTTCAAAATCTCACTAAGTAACTACTTTTTTTTTTCAAAATTAACCCAAAAAAAAAAAAAAAAACTTATATCCAAGCATGTCTTCAACCTTGACCCCGATCCTCTCCTTAGTTTATTCAACTTGTATGAGAGTTCTTTGGTGGATTATTGTACTGGCAATTTCGGGTCGAGCTTAGTTTGGTATTGTTAAAGCCTAGAACTTGCAGAGCCATTATTCATTATGTCCATGACCCAACTTTTGGTTTTGGTGACTCGTTTAAGGGTTCGATGAAATCAGGCTAATTCGGCCCATTTCCATGGCATTAAGGCCCTCGTGTTCGTCCTAAAATTCACTCGAGAAAGAGAGTATACGTTCTTATTTTATTTTGAACATATCATTCTCACTTTTTCTTTCTATATTCTTGTTTGTGCTAAAATTTAGTTTATCTTTCCTTAATTTTGGTTTCAACTTAGATGGCCAGGAGAGCTCGGAACATTGCGGGTCAAGTTCTGATCCAAATAGGTATTGTGGGTCTTGTTATTGGGTATTGTTCCATCATGGGGGAGTTGTGGGGTCTTTTCCAAGGTCTACTTCTTGCTTGGGATTTGGGATTTCGCAAGATTCTTGTTGAGGTTGATAATCAAAGTGTGGTGTCCATGGCGAATGGGAACTCCGCTGAGAGCCCTGGAATTCATGGAAGTTTGGTCCCTGCCATTCGTGAGTTACTTCACCGATCGTGGGAGTCTAGAGTGATTCATTGTTATAGAGAGTCAAATTTTGCAGCTGCCTGTTTGGCGTCCGTAGCGCATCAATGGCCGACCGGGTGTCACCGTTTATCAAACCCCCCTTCGCTAGTTCTCCCGTGGCTAAAGCATGATCTCATTGGTGTTGCTTACCCGCGGAGCATAACTCGCAAGGGGTCCTAGGCGTTTGCCTCCTTTCTTTGTACCAAAAAAAAAAAAATAATAATAATTGAAGAGAACTCTAAAATCAACGGCTCCCCTTAGTTCAGCTGATCCAATGACCAAAGGCAGCTGCTCACAGTAACCACAATAAACCCTCCCGCACCAAACCCCACCTCCCATCAAAATATCTCCACTCAGGAAATGACTATGAAAGCTCAACGGATAATCTAACCTTCAAGAAGAATTTTCCAGATCCTTCTGCAAACTTCGCCCCTTTGAAAGTTGAAACCACCAATCTCCTTATAACCCCAAACTTTCTCAAATTTTCATCTATCAAATTAATACAAAGAAAAAAAAAACCCTTCAATTTCTCAGCTTTCAAACGAAAAATCACCGATTTTTTCACGAAAAAATGGCTTCAGAAATCGACCCCTTCTTCCTCCCCTTCATCCTGGGCCTAACCGCCGCCGGCCCTTCTCAAGAAACACCCGACCCGATCGGCCCGCGTGACCGGGTCGTCCTCATCGACCTGCTGACCCGGACCATGGCCGTGGTCGAGGCCAACGCCGGCGCCTTGTTCGAGGACTTGTTCCCTGGAAAAACCGGGCCGAAGCCCGCCTCGAAATCGGCCATCGAGAGCCTGCCACGCGTCGAGGTCGGGACGGCCCAGATCGACGGCGAGGAAGAGCCGTGCGCCGTTTGCCTGGAGGAGCTGAAAAGCGGTGATCTTGCGAAGGAAATGCCGTGCAGGCACAGATTTCACGGCGGGTGTCTGGAGAAGTGGCTGAGGATTAACGGGTGTTGTCCGGTTTGCCGGCACGAGCTGCCGGCGGGCGGCGAGGATGATGACGGGGAGGGAAAATCTCGCGGAGAGAGTGGGGGAGAGAGGGTTGAGAGAGAGATTTGGGTGAGGTTCAGCTTTGGTGGTCTGAGGAATCGAGAAAATCAGGGGGATTCATCGGGCCAACAAGAAAATTTGGATTAATGAAAAAAGATTGAAATTTCGCTTTTCTTTTGGGTTTTCTTGTGATTAGTTCAGATGTGTAAAGATCAGTTCTTTTTTGTTTTTTTTTTGGAATCTTCATTCATTCATTCTGTAGATAATCTTTCTTTGAGAATAAGATTTGGGTTTGGTTCTGTTTCTCATATTGACAAGTTTTTGTGTTGCATTTAATTTACTATAAGCGTTAAATGAATCAATCTACTCATGGCTCCACTCGTTGGGACTTGAGGTTATACTGGCTTGTCGAACCGCTAGAGAATTTGAGGGGTTTACATGTTAAGTTCAAGCTCGACTCGTTAATTTTGATGAACAAGAAATCGACTCAATAAGGGTTGAGCTCGAACTAGAATATTAGAAAAAGGGTTGAGAGCTCCAATTAGAGTATTGGGATCTCGAGAGTCAATAAGGGCTTGACATGGCCATTTGGCGGGCTAGGTCCAAATCTGGCCCGACATGTCGCTAGGCCTAAAAACAAGTACCCAAAATCTGGCCCGACATGTCGCTAGGCCTAAAAACAAGTACTCGGAATTGGCCCGGATGTAGGTACAGGCCCGGTAGTTTGGGCCGTGACGGTGAACCGGCAGTTTGGGACCGACTGGTTCATAGTAAAAATAAATAAATAATAAGAAAATTGAACCTTTGAAGGCCAGTTTCGGCTCAACTCGGCCCATCGGACTAAAAAAATTTCATACAAGAGGCCCAAATCTGCCCGGGCAAACTACGGGTACGGGTTTGGGACCGTTAACCACGGGCCGAGTTTGGGCCAGTTCAGGTTGAATCGGCGGGTCGAGTCAGCCAACCATGTCTGATAAGGGTTAGCTCGAATTAGAGTATTATAAAAAAAGTCAAACTGGAATTTGAGTATACTTGAGTATGAAGAACTATGATTTTTATACTTTTCATGACTAGTTTACAGCCCATTTTAGAATTAGTTACAAATGTTGATGGTGTTTTTTTTTTTTTTTTTTTTTTTTTTTTTAATAAACATCTGACTTCATACTTGCTCATCCTCTTGGCAACAAAATCAGTAACTAATGCAAAATTTAATACTAATGTTCATATGAAAATTACAATAATTCAGTTTCAGAGTGCAATTCACAAGCTGGATAGTTGTTGGGAAACTCATTGGTCCCTAATGGTTTCTTTTTTAATAACAAAAGTCACTAACATTGCAACATGAAATTAATATATACTGAAATACAAAATGATTTTATAAGTTACATTTTATTTTATTCCGCGTTTTACGTCCTTCCAATCATGCATTCATCAAAATCTAAATGCTTCCCTTAATAAAATTACTCCGTGCATCGCGCGGGTACCGCACTAGTTAGGAAGCAATATTAGTGGCATAATTGCTCGTTAATACACAATTTAAGAAAATCTTATTAGTTACTTTACTACTTAATGGCCGTGGTGTTTGCCGTTGTTTGGTCCTTCAGAGTAATCGTTGACCTCAATATCCATCCGTCTATGGAAAAACTTATGGTTCTGTATTTCCACTTTTGCC